TCATACAAGTTCAAGTACCAGGGGTTAAACCGTTTGGTGTGAAGTTTAGCACCTTTGATGAATGCAAGTGTATCAACAAGGGCAAGAACTAAACATGATTTAAAGAATGAATTCTGGAGTTTGAAGTTCTCAACCTCGTTACAATGAGAAATGATTATATGAATGTGCATGTCGTTTTCACCGTGTAAATACGTCAAGTGCAATTGAAAGTTGTAACTCTCAGGTCAGTTCTGAAAAGGGTAACCTTTCCTAGTTTATGTCTGTTTATGTTTTTACATTTTGCATTATCTGTGCAATTCTATGGATACTGCAAACAATCTTAACTATAGGTGTATTGTTGAAGGCGCGTGGTGGCTAGTAGTGGCCCCCGGATAGACGTTGTCACGCTATTCAGTCTGGCCATTAGGTTCAAGCAATGACTAAGAGATGGGGGGGTGTTTCAAGGGACTTAAGGCCTGTTCATACCTGCTTGAAAGCGAACCCAAACGCGAATGTTTGACGTCAGATCAAATATTGTGGTACGCAAAAGGATACGCTTGGGATTGAAAGATTTATCAGTAATAGATATCGGTTGTGGTAGTCAGTAAGTTCGGATATCGTTTCTTTAATTTAATTGTTTGAAGTAGGGAGCAGATCTTTGGCCCTATTAAGCATTCCTGACGACTCTATTTAGTAAGGTTACACTGCAAATATTTAGAAACAAACTTGTGTCTTTTTAATGGTATCTATAAACCAAAGGACAAGCATCACTGAAAGAGAATGCTTTTGGTTTACGTACAAGTGTGAAATCTGTAATAAACAGAGCCATTTTCAATGCGTATGTGATGGTGGTTTGCTTTTTCATCGACCGTTGTGAAAACAACAAGACTTTTTGTTGCGTGTGTTTCAGTCTCTCTAGCTGCAGTAGCGCTTGTGTGGTAAGTGCACAGACCCAGGTGTGTGTTTCCTCGTCCCCATCGCCACCGCATGACACGATGCATGGCGTAGGCTTTGTCGGGAAATCATTGGATAAAATTCAATTTGAATCATGACACTAGTCACTAGATAAAATGGGTTGGGGAAGAAACGGTGTAGTGAGGGCAAGAAAGACGATTGCCTTTGGGGAAGATTCTGCCAGAATCGAAACATCAGGCCCGCTGACGTTTTCCCTCGTTTTACATTTTAGGACATCGCCAGTAAAAATTTTTGAACAGTATTTTCACATTTTCGAGAAGACAAAACAGAGATAAATGTTTAAAAAGTAGCCCCTGTGTGGTTTGAAAAACCATGTAGAACTTGGGCATTAGGGTCTGTCAAGGATAAATTTTAATGGAAAGTCTGATAACATTCAGAAAGGGTATTCAAAATGGGTCGTAAAGTGCGTAGCGTTTGCTAATTGTTTTTTCATGTTGGCGAGCTGCGAAGCAGATACAAGCGTACCGGTATTTTACTACCGATTTCTGTCCGGCAGGACCTTGGAGCGTACGTCCGTCTGTCAGCTAGCCATCTGTATTTTTTTACGTTATTGAAGTTTTTGCTTGAGGGTAGATGTGTAAGAATACTGTCGCGCTACCGTATCGAGCAGCCTAAACAATGAAGTCAGATCAGCGCCTTCGATCAAATCTTTTAAGTTAATGCTGAAAGAAAGCATGTCAGCCACTTAGGTTGTGAATAAGAAGAGTGTCAAATATTTCTTTCAATACATGTACATAATTTTAAATTTGAAGTATCTCGTCCCTCATCTTTTAATGGCATTTTAATGTGTCTAATATCTACGTAATGCTAATTATTATTGATATTATTTTAATCACTGATAATTTTTTTGTGTTTTTAAATATATATTTAATTTTTAGCGGCCTTAAGCTTTTTGAATTCTTTTTTCCCTTTACTGTGCGTTGTTATAGCCATTTCTTAGCTTTTAAGTGTAGCATATCTTATATTTTAAATTATTGTTATCTTTTACTTTAATTTTGTGACGTCTTGTCTCAGGGCCCTGTGGAAGACCACATCCAGTGTGAACGGGCCACCCTGATTAAATATTAGAAATAAATAAAGAAATAAATAAATAATTTGGTCCCACTTGGTATTTTATCAATACCAAAACATTACATATACACCGTACACGCTCAGCATGCCATTTGCATCATCTGTTCTGAAATTGGACAAGTTGGCGTTACTATTAAGGCGCTTTTTAACCTTGTGGACTCGCCACTTACACATACGATGTTACCTAGCGTAACAACCTTCAATCAGGTCCCAGTGTTTTGTGTAATGGAACATTGTTGTCAAGTTCAGAATTGCAATGAAAAGTTTACTGATATATAAGTTAATAGCTGAGCTATTTACAATTTAAGATAAAGAATCACACTTGAAGAATTACATTTAACGAAAGCTAAAGTTTAAACGCCGAGTTAGCTTGGGGGAAAGATGTTGTTTCCCATGCTCTACAAAACAAAGGCCTTCGTTTGGCGTAAACACCCGAGATAATGGCTCAGTTCTATATTTTCTCGAATGGTCTCTCTTTGTTCATCTGTGCTTGCAGCCGAGGTTCCCATGGAATTTGTGTCTTTGGAGTCATAACAGA